CCTGGCAGCCGCCCGCCTCGCCAGCCTCGCTCCCCGGCCTGCTTCGCTCCACGGTGCGGCGGCCGAGGGCACTCGCCTCTTGGGGCTCCCCAGCGTCCTGAGCTTGGTCGTGGATTGTACTGATATTTCTTCAGCCCGGGCGCGCCGCCCTCCTTCGGTAAGGAAACTTGCCAGCCACCTTTTGCACACTTGTATGTTTCCTCCCCCGTCTCACAAACTAAACTACCAGTCTCCTGAGTCCGGACACTGATCGGAGGGGACTGTGAAGTTGTCTCTCCAAGTGTATGGGGTTGAGGTACACGAGGTTCCCAGGTGTTGCACTGCCCCTCAGGGTTTGAGTACTGGGATGGGGGCATTTAGAAATATTTTTAAGCTGCAGATGCAAAAGAGGTCCTTCCACAGGCAGGTAAAAGAATAGGTCTGAGTTCTGGTCATGCACATTCTACTCCCAAGAATCCTACAGGGTGAGGTCCCCCTTCTGGTCAAAGGAGACCAGCCAGGCAGGCCTGAACTGAAATGTGTCCAAGCTAAAGCCCTCTACCAACTTGCTAGCACGCCTCCCTATTCCATGTTCCTCCTTCCGCTCCTCTGTGAAACGTATCGCCTTGGGCTGTTAACTACCATCTGCCTTCCTCCACTAGAATAGAAAAGTAGCCATCTTATCCGTCTTGTTCATCACTCTATCATTAGTGTCAACCACCATGCCTGACACACACAGTAGGTATGGAAGAAATAGTTACTAAATGAGTGATGAAAACTTTTCTTTGAAATATGAAGAATGGTGATTTCATTGCTGGTTTTGATTTTCATGCTTATTTGTTTCCTATTGGGAAAATTAAATACCAATAACTACTATTGATTGAGCACCTAGTAAGAACTGGGGACTCTGTGTAGATTACCTCATTAAACATTATAGTAGCCTTACCAGTTTGGCTCAGTGGATAGAGCATCAGCCTTTGGACTGAAGGGTCCCAGGTTCAATTCTGGTCAAGGGCATGTACCTTGGTTGTGGGCACATCCTCAGTAGGGGGTGTGCAGGAGGCAGCTGATCGATGTTTCTCTCTCATCGATGTTTCTAGCTCTTTATCCCTCTCCCTTCCTCTCTATAAAAAAAAGTCAATAAAATATATTTTTAAAAAAATGACATTATAGTAGTCTTGTTAGCCAGCTAGGTGTTTCTAACTAGGTGGGAAATTGAGGCTCCAGCAGGTTAACCAGTTTTCCCAAGGTTATCCTGGCAGAACTAGAATTCCAGCTCATTTGCTCTCTCTTGTTCTGGGCCTCTTCTAAGAAACTGAAATGTGTTTTCTACCATTACTGTCAATAGGCATTTAGCTTTATTTGTAACAAAAGCTATTGCTTAGCCGAAAGAAGATTTGTTGTTTTCTCATTCAGATATCGTTTCAATAATAGTTAGTAGTTATTTCAGAGGCCAGATACTACTAGGTTGCCATAAGCCCATAATATCTCTTTTAATCTTGCAGATGAAGAAACTGCAGCTAAGCTTCAGGAACTTGCAGCATCCATTGAACTAGAGTCTGCTAATAGTCCTTCTAACTCTAAACCTTTAGCTCCTTCACTACACAGAAATGTGTCCTGCTCCCACTGCTTAATTAGAAGTTACTTCATTATGGTAGAGTTCGGTGATACAATATATTAGAATGAACTGAGGTTGGGCTACAGACTTTCTGCTGCCAATATCAAGTTTCTAATTGCACTACTTTCTGAATTATTGAGGCTCTTACTGCTATTGATTTTTGTGGCTGGGTTTATGGTTTGTGGGCCTGGAAGTGGAGGGACTTTAATATAGGAGGAAAGTAAATTCTTAAACCTAAATTTACTTTTACTTTCACCGACATCTAAAGAGAAATCCTATAGGTTTTGCCTGCTGTGCACCTGCAGCCCGAACTTGATTCAGCAACCGAGTTGCCTTTGCTCGGACATTCCTATTGCCTAGAAAGCTGGTTCATTGTGTCTTCCTGTAAAACCCACAGCTTTCAAGACTGAACTCATAAGCCACTTCCGCCAGAATAATCTCTCTGAGCTCAATCTCTCACAGCATTAAAAACACCACCACAAAAAACCCTGAGGTTCTCCAGCTCACTTTCTGACTCCTGAGTATGTTGGGATTTTTCCTTACCATCAGCACCTCGGTCCTTTCATATTCCCCCCATTACCTTACCAGAGTGTCTCCTGACTTATTTATTCAAATGTACTGCCTTCCTTTCTAGGTTGTAAATGCTTTGAAGGCAGGGCCGATACACATTTTCTGTTTCTATCCCTCACATCACTAAGCCTGGTATCCTATCCATAGTAGGTGCTCAGTTAAAAAAGAGAATCTGGCCGAAACCGGTTTGGCTCAGTGGATAGAGCGTCGGCCTGCGGACTGAAGGGTCCCGGGTTCGATTCCGGTCAAGGGCATGTGCCTGGGTTGCGGGCACATCCCCAGCGGGAGATGTGCAGGAGGCGGCTGATCGATGTCTCTCTCTCATCGATGTTTCTAACTATCTCTCTCCCTTCCTCTCTGTAAAAAATCAATAAAATATATTAAAAAAAAAAAAAAAGAGAATCTGAAACAACTTTATTTGGTTATATTCTTTTTAAAATATATATATTTTTATTGATTTCAGAGAGAAAGGGAGAGGTAGCGAGAGATAGAAATATCAATAATGAGAGAGAATCATTGATCCGCTCTCTCTTGTTCTGGGCCTCTTCCAAGAAACTGAAATGTGTTTTCTACCATTATGGTCAGAATAATCCTGCACGCCCCACACGGGATTGAGCCCACAACCCAGGCATATGGCCTGACAGGAA